TTCTGAATAGCGCTGCATCGCCTGGTGGCCAGATCGCTGGCGAACCCGGGGTTTTTTTTTTGTCAACTAAAAGGGGTACCGGCACAAAAGTTCACTTGGCAGAAACATCTAGCATCAGCCATAATCCACCTGGGTTATCCAAGAATATAATTGTTTCAAGATGTCACTAGTGTGTGCTACAAAGCACTGCCTTTTAAATGCTGCCAATCTAGTTCACGATGATGCATCTTACTAAGTAGGAAACTCCTTCCTCTCCCCTCCCTCCCTACTCCTTCCCTCCCCCAGCCAAAAAAAAAAGAAAGATCACTACGTATAAAATGATCAGGAAATTATGAACCATAACGCAGGACATACCATTTGGAACAACAATTGCAACCAATAAACAGGAGGAAAGAACAAAAACTGTCAATAAGATAAACGTTCCAGAAGACATCCGAAGCATAGCATATTCACCAATATCCTGTAAATTCCATAACGATTTTATCCAAGCGAAGCAACTGCGCGCCAGAAAGGGGGAAAAAGTCAAAAAATTTGTACCTGTTTCAAGAAAAGATTGTAGAAGATGATACGACTTGGGAAAAGCATCAATGGAATGCTGACAGCTACCGACAGCATGAATGCCAACTTCATCAGCTGTGTAAGAAATGAAGTTTCCAGATAAAGCAGAATATCACCATGCAATTCAACATCATGGAATGCTACATAGCCAAAAAGACCCACTGCTGCATACAAACCACTACAGATATTCACCGATCCCGATACCACTGTATCAACCTGAAATCTCCGGTGGCTAATAATAAAAAAGACAAAACTGCAGAAGCAAAACTTGGAGACAATGCACAGAGGGAACAGAAGAAACTGACAGAAGAACCTATTTTTATTCAGATTTAACTTATTCACATTCCCTTTTATTCCCTTACTTTTTTCATAAACACACATAATCTAAAATTAAAATTACAAGACAAAGGCGAATCCAGGGGCAGCGATGGGTCTTTCGCACTCCCCCTACCCCTCCCTTTCTCTCTCCCCCCCCCTGGCTTCCCCCGCAGCTGGCACAGACACCAGTGCTGCAAAAGTCCGGGTCTAAAGCTAAAACTATAGTAAACTAAAGCCTAAAGTAACTCTAAGTAGCTGTATTGCAACTCTATTCCTAGTTATTGCATGGTTCCAGTACGGGAGAGGATTCTCCTTTCCATCCCCGTCGCCTCCCCCTCCTCCTCCTCCTCTTCAAGAACCCCATTCCGTCCCCCTTGCCCGTCGCCTCTCCTCCACTTTTACGAGTCTGTCCTGGATCCGCCTATGCTGATGGAGCAGATGAATGTTGTTGCGGAACCCGCGAAAAGCCGGCAAAAAAAAACCGTTACAAATTTTCATATTGTTTAGAAGGAGGCAGACGAGGAAAGAAAAGTGTGTGTGTGTGTGTGTGTATGTGCGTGTGCGTGACTTTGAGACAGATACACAGTAAATGTGCTCTAGAAAAATACAAGAGTCCGCGGTTCAATCGTACGAATATAAAGACGAGAAGTTCGACTCTCTACCGAATCATACCATTTCCAGGAAGGGTTTCGTTTACGACAGGCACATCCTAGTTACATAATTCGTTCCATGACGATACTGGGTGATGAAGGCAAGACAATATCAATTTGCTCGATTTAACCGGCAAATCTAATGAGTTAGCACTAAGTGAGCAAAATGAGTGACCCAAGTTCAGCAATAGCAGGCAGGTGATGCTAAGTTTAGGCTCTCGTCCTCTTCCAATCCCATTTAGCTAGAGATATTCACTGTTTGCATTTTTAAAATTTCTGAAACAATTAGAGCAAATATTTTCTTTTTTGCTCCACAATCCTCTAACATAACTGATATTGGCGTTTTTTTTTGGAAGGTTTTTTTGGGGGGTTTTTTTGGGTTTGGGTTTTTATGAATCGGGTTTTAGTATGAATTGTGTTTTTATTGGGTTTTGGGTTTTTTTTAGTATGAACTGGTTTTTTTTAGCTAAAAATGGCTTCCAAAAATTATCAAAAACAAGTAAGATTGTACCTTAGCAGTGGATGGATCCTTGATACAATCAGCAACACAAAATAGCTGTGTTTGGCAAGACAGTGCCATTGTAACGATTGGTAAGCTACAAAATTCATAGCAGAATAACTACGAAAAGCAAACTTTCCAAGCATGATCCTTGGCAAAAATTTTTTAAGTTTTTTGAATAAACTCAAAAAGTACGGAGAATGGTGGTAAGTCAGTAAACCCCTCTATAACTCGTTTATTCGTTTCGATGGTAAATTGGTGCTGGCATTTCCCAGGGAGAAGAAACTGCCATCCGCATGGTTTTGAACAATCATCGAAAGAGAGAACCATCGACAACTTTACCAGTGAGTGGTTGCTATTGGCAGATTCGGAAGTACTCGAACTACTTCCGAATGCCTTCGGCTTCATAGATCGTGAATACCAAGATTTTGACTTATTTCATTTTGTAATATTTAGGATTAAATTTAGAACTTCTTTTATGCAATTTTTTAGTTTTTATGCGTTTTTTGCAGCAATGCAATGCGAAAAACGCATATTGACGAGAGGTTGTC